AGTGGAGAGCAGCGACAGGTGGTTCGGATCGGACGGCTCTACGAGCAGCGACGAGAGGTCGCCGAATCTGTCCGTTAGATCCATGGATAGGTGCCGATAGGCTGATGCGACCTGCCTGCGCGCCTTGCCAGTGGGCGGCACTGGTACGCCAGAGGCAGTGCTGGCAGCAGCTGCAGTGGCGGCAGCAGCAGCAATGGCGGCAGCAGCACCGGTAGCCCTATTAGCAGCACCGTACGTACGCCTTATAGCGTCCTTGTCGCTGCTGTCAAGCGTCCTGCTCTTCCCAAACTCGGCACCGAATCCCCCACCCCCGCCTGCAGCCTCATTCCAACTCTTGGCAACACCATCACCACCGCTACTGGCACTTAGTGAACTATGCGAACTATGGGAACTATTTGCCAATAAACTACTCGCTAGTAGACTAATTGGTCTGCTACTGGAAGGGGGTCGCCTGGCGGAGGCGGCGGCGGCGGACCTATCGCTGACATCTAGGGTTCTGCTTCTGTTGTATGTGACATTTAAAGGATTGTCGCTGCTGTACCTGTTCTCAAGCCTGTCGTCCCCGTTGCAACCAGTCCCCCTAGTATTGTCTTTCTATACACTTCGGAACCACTTTCCTTCATCTGCAGATTCTCGCGAGCACTATAGGCACTATGAGCACTATGAGCACTAGAGGCACTATGAGCACTAGTGGCACTATGAGCGCCATAGCCACTATGAGCGCTATCCATGCCGCCGCGCGGAGAGAGGTCCCGGCCGCTTCTGCCGCTGCTGCTCCGCTCGCTTCTGCCCGAAAACCGCGTGTAGACTCGCGCAGCCACCTTGTCTCTGTGATCCAAGCTCCTACACTTGTCAAAAACCATGGCTCCCGGACGACTTCCCGAGATTTCGCTCGGGCTGACATCCCGTGTCTGCTGCTCCCTGCTACTTCCGTAGATCTTGTTACCGCCGTTTCTGCTGCTTCCGAGCACGTCCCTGTCGCCGCTGCTTCGCCAGTTTTCGCAGCTCCAGCTGCGACTGCTGCCGTCGTCACACAGGTGGTCGTTTCGTGCCCTGCTGACGTCCGCGCCCTCGGGATTCCCGAGGATGCGATTCGCACGCGTTGGCATCGCCTCGTGACGTCTATCCGACGCGAAGTCCTCCGCGTTATCCTCGTCGGAGATCGCACCGCCATAATCGTCACGATGATTATTATAACGAGTATAACGGTCATCGTTGTCGTCAACATAGTGCCTACGATGGCGACCGTTGTCACCGTCATCCTCCTCCTCATTGTCAACCTCGTCGTTATCGCCGTCGCCGTCGCCGTCGTTATCGTCGCCATCGGCGACAGAGACCAACGAGTCGGAGGAGCCGTTGTGAAGAAAGCGACCCAACGGGTAACCCTCTTCGACCGCTCGCTGCGGACACGGAGGAAACGAAGCAGTTGGCGTGAGAAGAGGGAGCTTGTAACGAAGCGTCGTAAGCTATCAACGAGAAGCAGGGTTAGGTTGTGCTACGAACAGGGAGCGAAACAGCGGGCAAGGGCACGCGGGGAAAGGCAAGAAAGGGGACGAAGCAAAGAGCCTGATCAATAAGCGAAGATCATAGTGTGTGGTTACCTCGAAACACAAAACGCAGGCTTTCGATGGCTCTCCTCCTTCCTCGATCTGCAGGTAACGGAAATATCGAGAAATAAAAAACAAAATAACAAAAAGCACGTGGTTTTGGATCATAACGACACCGATTCACGAAATGACGGAGGTGGGAGACTTTCGCATGAGTGTTGACGAAACCTGCCGGCGTCGCAGTGTTCACTCGCGACGAGAGACCCGAATCGGGCCGTACGTGGAACGTACCATGGCGGTGATAGGGTTGAGCGGCAGGATGCACTGGGTGCACTCGATACAGTACACGTTCCCGCAGCACCTGCAATGGTGCCTGTGGAGTGGAACCAACGGGGGAAAAGAGAGGAGTTGAGTGGACGGGTTTTCATTCAGGAACGAACGAAACAAGATTTTAACCGTGGCTCGTGCTCGAGTAAAGGCGATACAATCGAGTTTAGAGAATCTCCTGGGGGGGATGAATCAAGGCAGCGATCACTAATTAGGACCTATCGATCACGATTATCGCCTGCTTACGACCTACTTCCGCTCTTTACGGTTGAACTCGCGGTTGCAAGCAGGGTTGGTGCACTGCTTGATGGCTCCGTTCGGCATCCAATGGCTGCGCGACACGATATCGCCCGGACCCACCGGCGACTCCAACCATCTGTCCGCCGACCCCATCCTGTACGCGATAGCCGTCGCCGTCTTGTATGCTTACTGGGTCACGTCAAGCCGCCTGGTTCTGACCTATCGCCGATATTGACGATATTCTGACTACTTGCGAAGTTCTTGTCTTGTTATGTCTCTTGCATTGCACGCATATACGTACAGCATGCCTGTTCAGTCGAGGCGAGTCCCTAATACGGCGAATAATTAACTGAGAGCGGAGACTCGAGCAGTCGTAGACAGTGACATACTACGGCTCCAAGTGAACGCTTGACTGGCAGAATGAAACCATTCAGGAGATTCCCGCGCAATCTTTCTCTCTTCTATTGGAAAATCAAGGCTACGGGGAACATATCAAAGACTTGAGGCAATGGGCGTGTGGGCACCTCAGGTACTGTGGTTTGTGCAACATCGTTTTGTTCCCATTCCTGATTATTGTGCCTCTGCTTTCCGACTCGGAACATGAAGATTGGTGCTTGGGAATTTAGCAGGACAGATGGGAGAGGGGGCGAGCGAATGCATAGGAGGGGGGATAGCGCGCCGCAAATTGCTTTTCATTCGGTATAGTGAGGTGCTTCTTGTTCTGTGACGTTCAATTTAGCTCCAAAGCTGGTTGGGTCCGGTACTTAAGCAGCGAACGTTAAACACCCGCCCACACAGTCATCCTTTTCCAGGCTGCAATTCTGGTCGATCAGAAGATGGAAAGAATTGGCACTTCACAGTTTACCAACCACCACCACCACCACTACCACTTCATGTGTTCTTCGCATGTTCGCCCACAGTAACCCGAACACTGTTACTGTGCCACGAACTCTGAACGAACATCGTTAATTTTGATTACGACTCTCTGGCCTTGCTGTGGGCGGTTTGTGGTCAGGGCAGCCAGCTTTTTTTGACTGCATCGAGGGTATCCCTATAGTTATGCCACATTATGACCGAGTATTTCCAGCAAGCAAGTCAGATGTGGTCCTCGTGAGGCACCCAAAACCCTTCGAGGGGGAAGGGTTTCTCATAATATGACTTGGTTCCTGCTGCGACCCCTCATTCCGAGGACGGCCTCGTTCTAACCTGCACTGTATTTTCGAATCCCAACGGTCAGACCTCGGGAAAATATGCCGTTCGTAACCATCATGGGACTCGAAAACAGTTTTTGGTAAAAAATAAAGGGTACGGTCACTGCAAAGGGTGTTTTCACGCGACTGATAAAGCGTTTCACGGAATCAGTCACAATCAGCTGGTAAAAAAAAACGCGAATGGTCACAGATGAAACTCCCGCCAAAACAAAATGAAACCCAGAAAGAACCTGGATGCATTTTCGGATGATCAACCCTAAACACGTAACTCGCCAGGTGTTTAGGGTTGATCCGTTCCCAAACCGCATCCGATTCCGATTGGGTTTTAGTTTTTTTACAAGTTCGCAGATTGGTTGGGCGCGAGCGGGAATTTTGTTGAGTTTCAAGTTTTTTTGGCGGGAGTTACATGTGTGACCATTCGCGTGATTTTTTACCTGTTGTTAGTGACTGAATCCGTGACCCCGCTTACCAAACCCGTCAGAAAACCCGATACAGTGACCGTACGCGTTTTTTTTTTACCATTCACGTTATCGAGTTCCAAGTTGGTTACTTGTGGCATATTTTCCCGTCAGACCTCCACCCCGCTCGCACCTACTCAAATATGAGGCAGTTAGATCCTGATTTATGTCGGCATTCTGTGCAATGTCTCAGGTTTTTACTGGGTCGATTTCAGAGATGCCTGGATTGTCCCAGCTAGCAAAAATTGTGGATCCTCCGGCCGCTGTTTGCTGCTCCTGGGAATGTTGGCGACACAACTGGTTTCAGGCCAGCAGGAGATCAATTTCATTACAAAAAACTTCCGCAAGCGGCTGGGCGGTGGCGAAAGTTGTCGCGCAGGAGTGGTGGTTTTGGATGGAGCCCAGTCGAAGTTGTTGGCAACAGCGAGACGCCTTTGTTGTTGCTCTCATCTTGAGCGAAAAGACTGCCACTCCCAACACTCGAACGGCGACAGTCTGGAGTCTCATGGATCCACGCGGAGCCAGGCTGCCAAGGCCCTCTTGGCCCACACAGAAACAACAGTGGCCCTTTCGGTCAGGGGCCAGGAGTCGGGGGCAATCTTGCGAACGGCTGGGAGACGTGCTCGTTTGGGATTTTACCAGGCAACTTGGAACCCCGATATATGAAGGAATCCATCGAGCAAGATGGAGCTACATGCCTACTAACCTAACCTTTCTGTAAGGCCGTTCCTAATGCACAAACCTCCTTGTAGCAATTCTAAACAAGGGTTCACTTCGTGTGCTTTGCTGTATGTTTGAGCATCATCAAGTTCGTGCACAACCCCATACTTTTATCCACAAACGAAGACACATTCGATTAACCGAACGTCACACAGTTTCCACCAATTTAGTTACACAAAAAATGATTATTCCACACTGGTTTCTACATTACAACCCTTTGAAGGGAAATATAGTCTTCCAGAATACAATAAGCTATGCGTGGGAGTAGGAGGAGCCACCCAACCCAACGCATGCAAGCACAGCACACCCTCACAAAACAACAGAAAACTTCCCACCCAAGCCCACATTCACCTTGGATCCAGCATGCCTTCATTCCACGTCACAACCTCTTAGCAGGCTTCCAAATACCACCTCCCGAGAAAAACCAGTCAGTACCAACACCAGACCCAAATCTCTCCTTTCAACCTGTCACTTCTCAGGAGTATGGATAGTTCGTTTTAGGGGGTGACGGAGAAAAGGCTGGTGGCCCAGTTGTTGCGGGTGGTGCGCTCCTCGGTGGCGTACTGCCCTGCCGCCCACACGGTGCCCGTTGCATCCACTGCCAGCGCCTGTGTGGTGCCGTAGCGGACAAACGCCACCGGGTCAGTGCTCTTTGCCGAGTAGCCTGGCGTGCGGGGAAGGGGACCGGAAGCAACACAAGAAAGCGGAAATTAGCAAAAGAAAGAATGCCACCGTGTCAGTGCTCTTTGCTGAGTAGCCTGGGGGGAGAAGGGGTAGGGGGGTCGAGCATGGACAGGGATAGATGTTGAGTGCACTCGCCCACTGTCAACCAGTGCTGTGTGGTGCCGTGCATGGACAGGGATAGATGTTGAGTGCACAAACGCCACCAGGTCAGTGCTCTTTGCCGAGTAGCCTGGCGTGTGGGCAAGGGGGGGTAGCCTAAGATATAGCTAAGTTCACTTTCCAGTCCCTGTGTGGTGCTGTAGCGAACGAACGCCACCGTGTCCGTGATAGGGATAGGAAAAGCAGGACGAGAGAGATCAGAAATCAGGAGGGATTGTGGAGAGTGTGGAGGGTATAGACCATGTAGAGGGACCGTAAGGAGTGTAGCAGTTGTCTCAACAGACAGATCATGAGACACCTTAGAAAAGGCTGGGAACTCACTTTGGGAGTCGACGTCAAGGGGTGCAGAGCTCTGCACAACGGTGTAGAACTTGAGGTCCTTAGGGCTGATTCCCGCCTTGGTGACGCGCACGAAGCCCACCGTGGGGTAGTTGTTGGGGCTAACGAGCGTTGCCAGTATGATGCCCTTGCCTAGCCTGGTCAGGGGGGAGAGACAGGTGGAGAAGATAGCACGGTCAGGGGATCACAGCGCAACGGATGCAGGTCAAGTCATCGCACATTGTGCAACACATGCAGGTCAAGTCATCGCACATAGCGCAACACATGCAGGTCAACTAATCGCACATAGCGCAACACATGCAAGTCAACTCATCGCACATAGCGCAACACATGCAAGTCAACTCATCGCACATAGCGCAACACATGCAAGTCAACTCATCGCACATAGCGCAACACATACAAGTCAACTCATCGCACACAGCGCAGCGCAACGCATGCAACTCGGCTCAACTCGATGCCTCAGCAAGGCATGCAGCCCATCTCATCGAGTGCGACTCACTTGTTGAAGGCAATGGTGGGAGCAATAAGATTGGCCATGGGGACGTTGTAGATCATAGAGCTCGCCACCGCGAGGTTCAGCGGGGGCGAGGAGCCCTTGGCAGCACTGCGCGTGCCACTCAAACACGAACGCAATGTTCGCTAGACAAAAAACGCGACTTACTTGTTGAAGGCAATGGTGGGAGCGATGAGGTTGGCCATGGGCACGTTGTAGATCATAGCGCTCGCCACCGCGAGGTTCAGCGCGGGCGAGGGGCCCTTGGCAACCGTGGCTTTCATCTTCACCAGCATAAACCCCGCCTCGGAATTCGGCGACATGGTCGACCCGGTCGGCACCACCATCCACAGGAACCCCGTCGATAACGCCACCGACGTGCTCCTGGGAGGGACAATCAGCGGCGTATCCTTGTTGTAGGATTCAGCGAGCGGCGCGAGACCGGGTTTCTGCTGAGAGGTCGACCAGTCGTAGTAGAACGAGCAGTTGGCGATGGCGGTGAGGAGCGTGAGGGTGGGGTTGTTGGCTGAGAGAGAGACGGTGTTGGTGAGCGCGAAGGCGAAGACTGCTGAGTGGCCGGACATGGCCCAAGAGGACGTCGTAGGCTCCGAACCACATGGTTGCCCTTGTTGGTTAGGTCGTATTTGCCGTCCGCGGGGGAGGCGGCCGGCTCGATGGTCCAGTACTGGAGGACCGTTTGATCCGTGCGGGGACATGCGCGGGGAGCGCGAATCGGACGGCTGTGATGTCGGATTGCTTCAGGAGGGCGGCCTTGCTGAATGCACTGTTGGGGGGAGAGTACAGGGAGGAGAAGGCGAGGGACGGGGAAGGAGGGATAGCGAGAAAGGGATGAAGGATGAGAGGGAGCAGATGCACGAAAGTTGAGGACGCATACACACACAGACCCACACACGCATGTCCACGAACGCTAAGGCAACGCAGCAACAGCAACAGCCACAGACACAGCTAAAGCTAAAGCCAAAGCCACAGCACAATACGTTGCTGCACCCACGGAATTTTTGAGGCGCCTCAAAAGTCGTTGCTGCACCCACGGAACCACGCTAACTCACGAGCGCCCATCCAACTCACAAGATGTTGCTCCCCTGCCACACGTCGTCCACCGTCGTATACCAACAGCCACAGCCACCAACGAACATTCTCCACTAACAGAAACAGCAACAGCAAGAGCAACTTACAAGATGTTGCTCCCCTGCCACACGTCGTCCACATTCGAATACGTCGCCTGCTGCGTCGTCACATACACTCCGTTCGCGTCCACGCCGAGCCGCGGGTACGTGTTGTAGAAAAGCTCGCCCGTGTACGCGAGCGGCGCGAGGTGATCATCTGGACCGTTGGTTCCGTCGTTGGTGGTTCCGACGAAGTAGACGCTCCATGCGTCGAGCGGCTTCTCGGCGGCAGAGACGGCGGACGACGATGCCCGAGCCGCGCGAGACGCCCTTGTTGTCCGTGCGCGTCTGGCCGAACTTGTCGTACGCGTTAGAGCTGCCCGCCTGTTGCGGAAGATAGACGGGGAAGAGGAAGTGTAAGGGAGGGGGAAAAGGAGGAAAGCGGGAGCATGAAGAGCCGTGTGCGGTGGAGAGTAAGAGCAGCCAAGAACTAGGAGAATCTGTTTCAAATACAACCAGCCAAAGACAGAGAGCATATCATGCGACCCACGACAGCCGTTGCAACGAAATAAACAATGGGCGTACCAGCCATGCGGCGGAGAGGAAGAATCGCTTGGTCGCCGAGTCGTACACGCACGGCGCCTTGGCCACGAGATCGGACCAAACAAGCAGCCGAACCAACGAAACAAGGCGCGGAGAGGAGAAACCGTACCAGCCATGCGGCGGAGAGGAAGAAGCGCTTGGTCGCCGAGTCGTACACGCACGACGCCTTGGTGACGAGATCGCCCACGGTGGTGCCGCGGTACGGGTTCACGCCCAGAAACTCGTTCAGCGCCACTGGCGCCGTGAGCGCCTTGCCACTGCCGTCGAACACCACGATGGCTGCGGGGAGGAAGAGAAGGAGAAAGAGAGAGAGAATGCGGGAGGAGGAAAGGAGGAGGAAGAGGAGTATGAGTCGACTCGTTCAGCGCCACTGGCGCCGTGAGCGCCTTGCCACTGCCGTCGAACACCACGATGGCTGCGGGGAGGAAGAGAAGGAGAAAGAGAGAGAGAATGCGGGAGGAGAAAGGAGGAGGAGGAGTATGAGTCGACTCGTTAAGCGCCACTGGCGCCGTGAGCGTCTTGCCACTGCCGTCGAACACCACGATGGCTGCGGGGATAATGGAGTAAGGCGGAAGAGGGAGAGGAGTGAGGAAGGACGGAGGGAGGGAGCAGAGAGAAGCAGGAGACGAGGAAAGAGGAAAGAGACGAGGCGTGCACGGGAAAGTTCGAGTAAGGAGGCGAGTGACGAGAGCCCGGTTGAACCTACCCCAGTTGACGACTTGCACGACGTAGTTGCTGCCGGCGCACACGGACGGGTCGGGCACGCTCGAGTCGCTTGCGTATGCGGCGGTGCCGGTGGAGGCGGTCTGCTTGGCCGTGACGCCGCTCTTGAGGACGGACGGCGAGAAGGGAGCGACCGTCAGCGATAGAAACGCCTTGGGCTTCTTCTTCTTGGCCGCCTCGAGGTCCTGTAACGCGTACAAACGCGCGCGGGAGAAATGGAGGGAAGGAGGGTATGAGAGCGGGGGGTGAGCGTGGCGCCGCGAGACGATAGCGCTTCGTATGAGGACCCTTCCGCGTGTTTCTGAGTCGACGTGAACGCGCGAGACGACAGTGCTTCGTACGACGACCCTTCCGCGTCGAACGCTTTGTAAGCGCCGATTCACAACAAACCCTCCACACTTCATAGAAAGAGCAAGCGCGAAAACCGTTACATGACCGCCCGTGCATTATAATACTGCACAGCGTGCGACTCCCCGTGCCGCGACAGTGCTGCGTCACACGGAAAACGACCCTCTGATGCGGCATGGGTGTCGCAGGCTGTGCCGCCACCTAAGCTGACACCTACGCCGACGCGCAACTATCCCTCTAGGCCGCCAATGTGTCGGAGCTAGAGCTGTCGCGACTGTCGCGATTCCGAATTAAACGACTGTCACATAAAGTCGATACGTCACAACAATGGTCGAACCAACTGCGAGCAAAATGTACCTATTGCGAATGTACCTAGTAATCTCGCGAGCAGTTTGCTGGCCTACTCATCAGGCCCAGTAACCCGCTGACCATTAGACATGTCAGGTACGGACTCTCTAGGCAGGATGTCACTGCTATTGTCGACGGTCCTGGATGAGTGGCTCGGCACGGCGACCGCACACGCGATGCCCGCGACTGTCATATTCGCATAAGCGGCATGCAAGCGGAGAGAGAGGAATCCTAACCGCGACTTGATGTGAAGGAATTCCAGGAAACTAATCGCGGACAACCGCGAGAACATGAACCGCAGAAAGGTGAGAGTACTAACCGCGGTGGCTCCGGTAAGCTCCGCGGGCGGGAGCAGCGGCCGAGGATCAAAGTCCAGGTTCGGCTCCCCATCCTCCACAGCAGGGTCGGTAGCCGACGGATCGGTACCGGGAGTTCCAAGATCAATGCTGTCGTCCTCCAATAGACGGCGGCCGCCGATTTGACTTCTTGGATTCTCCAGCACTTGTCGGCTCTGAACAGCCGCGCCTTGCGTGGCCGTGGAGGGAATTTTCGCTACTCCGGCGTAAGAGACTTTGACTGTTGATTTGTAGAAGCGAACGGACGGCAAGGGTGGCGTGTCCCCCTTCTTTTTTTTCCGTGCTGCCTCGACGAGGCAGGGGAGGGCGACGAGGAGTAAGATGCAGACGACGCGCAGCGTGCGCTGCGATGGGACGGCCATGGCGCGTGCTTGCCTGGCTAGTAGTATGTTGCTTTGTTAGGGACTACGTGAATCTCAATGGAAAAAATGGCGGAGAAAAAAGAATGAAAGAATGAAGTCAGTACAGTATGGTGGATCTCAGGGGGCTTGGTTATCAAAGTAATGTGAGGCTCTGTTGTTGTGTGGTACTGCTAGCACAAATTTGGTCAAAGAGAGGAGCCTCTTGTGTTGGCTGGCATATTCTAGCTGATGCCTCTCAAACACTTAGTGAAAAGATGAGTTCGCAACAGAAAATACTTCTGCTGGAAGCGCAGTGCACAGACTGCCTGAGGATACCCCTGAAATGTTGACTGCGACAGAGGCGATGCATGGATGCGGATGCATGGAGGAGGATGCAACTGCACCATGCGGTTTGGCTTCCGCAGATGGGCGTGGTCACATGGCATGGGTCTCATGGTGGGTTGGACATGTCGTCGCCAGACAATGGAGAGCCATTCTGTTAGGGGGAGAGGTCGTTGAGCGAGCCGCATCATTTGTCATGTCTCGAATCCAGTAGATTTGCGAACATCGTTGAAAACTCCTGACCCCTCAGGTGTATATCGCAAGTGCCTGCTACAGAACAAAAATGGTACGGCTGTCTGTTCAAACATCCACGGGACCTGCATGCGATGCGTCCTATCAGTCGAGTCTGAATCAATTTAGATTCTAACCAAACTTTTGAGAGGACACAAAAGTCACAATCTTTGCAGTGCTAAATTCATAACCAAACGGAAGCGAACTCCCGAAAGAAAATAATCGGAAAAAAGAATTCGCCACCTCTTACTGAACTCGCCCAGGTGGTTTATCAACCTGAAATTCAGATAGACATTTGTTGCGAGTCGCACGTGTGATGGTTCTCTTCAAAAATCAAGCAAACTGTTCACTTCCATCTTTCTACGATTTTGATTTGCAGATTGGGGTTGACCACACGATGCAGCAGGAGCAAGAACCAAACGCTGCCAAGGTAGGGTGGGAGGAGCAGCATGAATGCCCCGTATCCAGTCACAGAAGACCACAAGAACTGCCTGAGGGCCATTTTCCTTCCAGTATTCAGTCACATATGTTGTTGAAGTGTATTTCTCAACTCAATACCCGACACGGACTCCATAAACTAGGAAAGGAGAATATGCAATGTGAGTGAATCCATGAGCAAACAAGGAGTGCCACAGCGAATGCTCATGACGCGAAATATGTTAGCTACGATGCAGTGCTGGCCTTGAGGCTCAAGCGTTTTTTTTTCAAGCGTATGATCGGGTCGGCAAGAAACAACTAAGGCATTGTTTAATTGGTATTACGGGTGCAAGTCAGAAAGCGAGTGAATATTGCACTGTCATAATAACTGTGAAGGAATGGATGAACTATGAATGAGCTGGGTACAAGTACTAACCCTAAAGTGTTGTACCCCTTGTAGGCTAACCCACTATAGCCTAGACAGAACACAAACATATAGTTTGACAAACCCCCATAGGCTATGTGGCAGATAGCAAACACAAGAGACGGTCACAAGACCAGTCAAACAAGAAAACAAAGCAAGAGCAAAGCTTAGGGTGGATCTCAAGGACACCATCACAATCGGAGCACAAGCAAGCGGACACAAGACAAGTTCACATGCACAGTTATAATAGCAAGGACGTACACTTGTCACAACCTAGCAAGAGTCAACAAGCAGGTACAAAGATATATATAAGTGTACAACAAGAGCAAGTCAAGCAACTAGCAGGTGAGGCAGAGTGGGCACAAGCCCAAGAGCAGTGCAGAAACGCTGATGATCACCAGACACAAGGGCCTTGGTGAACACATCAACAGTATTGGCCCGCGAGGCCACGTAGGAAAGGCGGACCTGACGACGCTGCTGCAGCTCACGCGCAAGGAAATAGCGAAGAGCAATGTGCTTCGTTATGTGCTCCAGCCTCTACTCATGACACAAGGCAAGAATTGTCTTGTTGTCGACGTACAGAACTGGAGGAGAACGAGGCCGCTCCCCCAAGCGATCAGCAGGTAGGTCGGCCAGCGTAGCTCATGTGCAGCCATTGGCCCTAGCGTAGATCTCGGCCTCACAGCTGGAACCAAGCACAGAAGAAGAACGAGTGGACCTCCAAGAGACAAAACCTAGAGACAAGACCTCCACGAAGGTGTAACCCTGTGACGAACGTTGACTCGCCTGGTCGTCGGCCCAAGAAGCGTTGGAGTGTACTGTAAGTACCACTGAACCCTGTCCTCCAAGCACGAGCCCCATGCACGATGTACTGCATAAGTAACGCAGTACCCTCTTCGCAGCATCCCAGTGCACCTTTCAGTGTCTACCGAGAGCCACGTAGCGAGCCAGGAGGCTGAGAGGGTACGCGAGGTCAGGTCGTGTGCACGTCATCAGGTACATGAGGCAACCCACAAGCTCTGGATACGGACCACTCGGCTCTACGGACTCGTCCGAAGGTGGAGCTGAGAGCGAGTGGCCGGTAGACAGACGAGTGGGCTATGGTGAGGAAAACTGGAAGCCAAAGCGCTGAAGGACCTGGTGCACCATGTGTGACTGAGTCAGGGTGATGGTGCGCCGTGCTCTGTCCCGGGTGATATGCAAGCCAAGATAGCTACACAACTCACCCAGGTCAGTGCAGGTGTGTCTCTCCTGTAGCTCCGCCTTCACTAAGGCCAGCGCCTCAGTGTTAGCAGTAACAAAAAATGTAGAACGGTGGCAGGGTAGTGTTTGTGCGCAGAAACAGCGACGGGCCACCAGAGGAAGGAACAAACCCAAGAGCCGCAAGTGTAGTCCCTAAGGGTGTCGTGCCATGCTCGGGGCGCCTGGCGGAGACCATAGACTAGCCGCTGGAGGCTCCACTGGGTAACTGCAGGAAACGACCAAGTGAAGCCAGGTGGGCGGCGCAGCCAGATCTCCTCGTGCAGGCTGCCCTGCAAGAAAGATGTACTGAAGTCAAGAGAGTGCACCTCATAGTCACGCTTAGCAGCGACGTGCAGCAGCACCCGAAGAGTGGTCATCTTTGGGGTGGGGGAGAAGGTATGGAAGAAGTCGACCCCCCTGACATTGACTGAAGCCTCGAGCAACGTAATGCGCCTTGAAGGCATGCGGAGAACCCGGAGGCCGCTTCACTCTGAAATCCACATGCCATCGACTATGTTCGCCCCAGGAGGAGGAACCTCGTCGACGTAGGTGCCTGTGGACTTCCAGGATGCCATCTCTGCGTCCATGGCTGTCTGCCACTGAGAGGAGTACTCATCCGCGATCGCCTCAGCGTAAGAGCGCGGGGTAGGGACGTCAAGTGCATCCGGGTCTCCCTCACGGCAAAGCAACATGGATGCGAAACGAGGCAAATTGGCCACAAGACACTCAATCTCAAACTGTCTGTCCTCAAGGATGTCTTTCCTAAGGGCAAGCTCACCCCCGATGGACGAAGGACAGACAGAGTCAGACTCAGTAACAAGACTCGTGACGTAGTCGAGTCGACTCCTAGCTGCAAAGTCGACTAGCTCAGTGACTAGGGCAAACGCTTCAGTAGACTCAAGGTCTGGGTCAGTGACGACATTAGCGAGGAGACGAGTGACAGTAGGACTGGCAGCACGAGCAATGTCGGACTCAGGGTCACTAACGTGCGGAAGAGAGGACGCGGGAGGCTCAGGCAGGACAACACGCTGTGGAACAGAGGAAGGACGAAGTGCCATACCGTGAGTGCCCTGGGACAGCAGGAGGACGAGGACAAGTGACACGACGAGCACGAACAGGTGTGGAAGCACGAGTCTTAGGCTCACAACGCTGAGTCAGGGACTCAGTCACCTCAGTGTGAGGAGCAGGAGCAGGCAGCAAGGATCCAAGCAGTAGCTGTGGCTAAGACTGGTCTGTCGGTGAACACATGAGAGGTGGAGTGAGGCCAGTGGAAGACGGGAGACTAAGAACCCGGCGAAGGACCCGAGTCAGGCGGCGGCAGGGACGACTGCGGCTGCGGGTAGAAAAATAGTCGGGTCGCGGGGCAGAACCAGCAGCTCCAGCTCCTCCAGCACCAGCAGCACCAAGTACCTCCAGTGCCAGTAGCTCCAGTAGCTCCAAGTAGCACCTCCAGCACCTCCAGCACCAGCAGCACCACCTTCTCCGACAGCTCTAGCACCTCTAGTACGAGCACCTCCAGGACCAGCAGCTCCAGCACCTCCAGTACCTCCAGCTCCAGCGCCTCCAGCACCAGCAGTACCTCCAGCAACTCCACTACCAGTAGCTCCAGTAGCACCTCCAGCACGAACAGCACCACCAGCTCCGGCAGCTCCAGCACCTCCAATACGAGCACCTCCAGGACCAGCAGCTCCAGTACCTCCAGCACCTCCAGCACCTACAGCACCAGCTGTACCTCCAGTACTAGTAGGTCCAGCACCTCCAGCACCAGTAGCACCTCTAGGACTAGTAGCTCCGGCACCTCCAGCACCAGCAGCACCTCTAGTACCTCCAGCACCAGCAGCACCTCCAGCACCAGCAGTACCTCCAGGACTAGCATCTCTAGCACCAGCAAGACCGTACGCTCCACCACCAGGACTGCCTCGCTGAACGATTCCACGTACGAATCGCCTACGGCGAGAGCGTCTCAAGTAGATCAGGCTGCGGTGGCTGTCCAGCTCCAGGACCTCCAGCAGGGTCACCCACTAGCTCCACCGCCACTAGGACTCGTCAGTACCCCCAGAGTCAGCACCCCCAGTCGCAGCACCCCAAGAACCAGCACCCCCAGTCGCAGCACCCCCAGAACCCAGCACCCCCAGTCGCAGCACCCCCAATCGCAGCACCCCCAATCGCAGCACCCTTAGAACCCTCACCCTCTGTCTCAGCACCCCCAGACTCAGCACCAACAGTCTCAGCTCTAGAGTCCACAACAGCAGGCTCCGGAGGCGGCAAAGACGCCGAGGCGGAAAACCAGGGGGGTCTCCAAGCGTGGAGAGCGGCGAGTGGCCGCCATGTCGTCAACGGCGGGGTCACCCCCCTCAGCTGGGCC